TCATACCTGCTTCATCTAGCTTCCATTTAAGTATTTAGAAGTAAATTACAACCATTATGACATTTTACTGCTGAGTTCTTTAGTACACATCTCTAAGCACTAGAGATGTTCTTCTACATTTTATTTTATAAATATAAATGAGCATCACCGTTTGCCAGCCTGGACACGCTAGGAATGGGTGAACAAGATAGAGCTCTCATTCCTTTGGTGGGGGTGGGAGATGGGGAGGTGGGAGGAGACTTAAGCCTTGTACTACATTGCACATTATTACGTTCATTTGGGAAATCAAGCTGTGAAGGTGATGCTCAGTGCCGTAGCACTACATGGAAGGTAGCCCCTCTCAGCTGTGGTCGGAGGTGGAGGGAGTATGAAGGCTTCTCTGAGAAAGGCATGCTGTGGATGGCCCTGGGGTGGGGGGAAGGTTAGCGTTTTGGAGCAGGGAGCTGAGAAGGATAGCTCGGCGTTAGGTATGGGCTCTGGTACTTGTTCCACTATCTATTAGCTTTCTGTGTCTGTTTCCCCATCTGTAAAATGGGGCCAGTAACAGGGGTGTTTGAAATGACTGTTAGCCTTATTAAGGAATTCACGGTCTTATCCAAAAACTGTTGGTTAAGGAGGTGGCCAAGTTTAGCAGCTGAGAAGTCACTGTGGCTGTAGTAAAGGCAAAGCGATGGGATGGGCAGGACCAGCTGCTAGGCCAAAGGCAACAAGAAGCATGGAAGGGGCATGTGGCAAGGCTGGGTCTATATTTCTAATTTTTCATTACTTACTCAAATGCAAATTGTGATATGTGTTTTCATTCCGGACTGCCATGTCCCCACATCTTTGTTATCAGGATTGATCTTTTCAGTTTCTTACCAACCATAAAGACTCTAAAACGGCAACACTTTTTAAAAACTGCATTTCTGTGATGACTTACATCAAGCAGCTATTCATACTGACCACTGGGAAAAAAAATTATTCAGGGACCTTACTGAGGACTATAGCCTGGGAAGGCAGCCTCTCAGATAGCTCTGGGGAACTATCCCAAGAGGTAAGGAGAAGCCTGGATATACAGGAGTTTCTGCTGAAAAACAAACAAAAAAACATGTAGTTTTGGACTACAGGGAGATCAAACCAGTCAATCCTAAAGGAAACCAACCCTGAATATTCACTGGAAGGAGTGATGCTGAAGTTGAAGCTCCATTACTTTGGCCACCTGATGTGAAGAGTTGACTCATTGGAAAAGACTCTGGGGCTAGGAAAGATTGAAGGCAAAAGAAGAGGGTGACAGAGGGTGAGATAGTTAGATAGCATCACCAACTCAATGGACGTGAATTTGAGCAAACTCCAGGAGATAGTGGAGGACAGAGGAGCCTGGCGTGCTATAGTCCATGGGGTTGCAAAGAGTCAGACAAGACTTAGTGACTGAACAACAACATATAATATCTGTGAAAGTATAGATCTGACATAGTAGTCTTATTTTTCCAACATAAATTGAATAGATAACAATGAAAATAAACATTGTCCATCTAGCAGCACCTAAAGTTCTTTTGTATACTACCAGTAGTTTGAGAAACACTGATCTGAGCAAACAATTCTAATTAGTTCTTTGAAAATCTCCACTCAAGGCTAGCTGGTAATATCTGTTGCTTGAGTGGGATGCTGGTTGACCACTGGGTTCAGTTTGTAAAAATCTTCAAGATGTTCACTTATAACCACTCTTTTGTATGACTAAAACCAATAAAAAATTTAAAAACTGAACTTTGAAAACTTGAAAAAGTATCATTGTATTGTTTTTTGTTAATTACTGGTAATATGATCTATTACATACATACGTCATGCAAAGAAACAGACTAGTAAAGTGAAAAAGAGTTACACAAATATATTAAAATATGTTTCTCACCCTCTTACACTGTTGGTGGGAATGCAAGTTAGTACAGCCACTATGGAAAACAGTGTGGAGATTTTAATTCATTTCAATGTATGACAAAAACCACTGCAATGATGTAAAGTAATTAGCCTCCAACTAATAAAAATAAATGGAAAAAAAAATAAATAAAATATGTTTCTCCTCCTTATAGTTCGGAGGTTTCTGCAAGCAAATCCATCCTCCCATAGACTTCTGAAATGGACCAAAGGTGATATCCTAGATAGAATGTTCAATGGCTAAGATGTCAATGAAGTGATCTGTAGGGCGGAATTAGACAATGATGCCACAGACCAGAGTCTTAATATCCTTATCTCTTAGTCTATATTAAAGGAAAACAGAGATAAATGGAAAAGGCCATCCTCACAGCATGAAGATCAAATTAAGGAGTGAGATTGCAGGGAAACAAATATTTTGTACTGACCTGTCAAAAGCACTTACTCAGATACAAGAAAGCACACACCACACTGTTTTTATTTTTTTTAATCCTGAAGTGATTCTGGCTTTACTTCTAAATTCTCTGCTTTCAGAGTTTACCTTTTTTCTGAACACCCACAGCACTGATATTAATCAAGGTTACAAAGTCACTGATACTAAAATCTCACCACCAAATAGAAGTGGCTACTTCTTAGTATGGAAATTCAAATACCTTATATCTTTTTGTCCTTTAAGAACAGTATAAAATACTCTAGTTTCCTTCTGTTGATAGCCATGGAAAGTAATCTCCAATACTTCAGTGACTGAATATGCTTAAAACTATAGCATATTAAAAAGCAGAGACATCACTTTGCTGACAAAGGGCCATATAGTCAAAGCTATGGTTTTTCTAGTAGTCATGTAAGTTTGTGAGAGCTGAACCATGAAGAAGGCTAAAAAGTGAAAGTTGCTCAATCGTGTCTGACTCTTTGCAACCCCATGGACTATTCCCCAGTCCATGGAATTCTCCAGGCCAGAATACTGGCGTGGGTAGCCTTTTCCTTCTCCAGGGGATCTTCCCAACCCAGGAATCGAACTGAGGTGTCTCCTGCATTGCAGGTGGATTCTTTACCAACTGAGCTATCAGGGAAGCTCTGAAGAAGGCTGAGTGATGAAGAACTGATGCTTTTGAATTGTGGTGGTGGAGAAGACTCTTGGACTCCAAGGAGATCAAACCAGTCAATCCTACAGGAAGCCAAATGCGAATATTCATAGGAAGGACTGATGCTGAAGCTAAAGCTCCAATACTTTGGCCACCTGATGGGAAGAGCCAACTCACTGGAAAAGACCCTGATGCTGGGAAAGATTGAAGGCAAAAGGAGAAGAGGGTGACAGAAGGTGAGATCGTTAGATAGCATCACCAACTCAATGGATGTGAATTTGAGCAAACTCTGGAAAATAGTGAAGGACAGAGGAGCCTGGTGTGCTGCAGTCCATGGGGTCGCAAAGAGTCAGATACAACTTAGTGACTGAACAAAAACAACAATAGCAGTCAAGGGCATCTATGGATTAACTTCACATTAAAAAACAATAAAACTAGCAACTTCAAAATTCAACCTGTAGTTTTTCAAATATAAGTCATCATGGTTTGAAAATTATTGGGGGGCCAGTTGAATAGGAAAAGCCCATGGAGAAAATGTAGATAACTGGTTGTCAGAGAAAAATCTGGATTCCTGTTTTCTCAAAGGACTGTTCATTTCCTATTTCCTTCCTGTTAGGTCTCGTTCCAGTGGTACTGTATTTTGAGGTGGATACCGTTCCCACATTTGTTTCTCCCAGAACTGGAAGCCATAGTGTGTAATTCCAAATTTTTAAAAGGCTTCTCTTTCCAGTCAAGAATCTGCAAGACATCTGGTTTGAGAGGGCACCCTCATTCACTGTTAACATACACATGTAAGCTGATCTATGTGCATATTCTGCTTTCTGGAGACCTATGGAGTCTTATGCTAATTAAATTTCCCCTAGAGTTTCTCAAAATCTAATTGCTCAGTGTTGCTGGCTTTTCTCATAGTCCCCCTGTCAAGTGATAGAACACTTAAGTGCAATTTGTTCCAAGGACCTTTGAGGGAGGGATTAGCACGAGGCTTCCGATTACAATTTCAGGGAGCTCGGTGCTGGGAGATGTCCTTCCACCAAATGAATCTCAAATAAACCTTAAGGATGCAGCTGAAGAACAGAGAACCTATCAGCACAGGCTTGGTTGGGCTATTTAAAAGCCATTCCCCTTAAAAAGGAACAAAATAATGCCATTTGCAGCAACATGGACCTAGAGATTGTAATACTGAGTGAAATAAGTCAGACAGAGAAAGACAAATATCATATGATATCACTTATATGTGGAGTCTAAAAAAACGGTGCAAATGAACTCATCTATAAAACAGAAATAGAGCATAGAGATAGAGAAGGGTGCAGGAGGAGGGACAAATTAGAAGATTGAGACTGACATGTATACACTACTATATATAAAATAAATAACTAATAAGGACCTACTGGAGAGCACAGAGAACTCCACTCAATATTCTGTAATGGCTTACATGGGAAGAGAATTTAAAAAGGAGTGGGTATACGTATATGTGTAACTGCTTCACTTTGGTGTACACTTGAAACTAACACAACACTGTAAATCAACTATACATCAATAAAATTTTTTTAATTAAAACTTTTAAAAAAAAATGAAGCTGCTCCTGACCAAACAAGGGCAGGACAGGGGTGAGGCACCAGTTGTTCAGAGGGTGACAGAGTGTGTGGGCAACAGGCAGGCGGAAGCAAAAATGAGAGGAAGGAGTCCACTTGGGCAAAGGATTCCTTTTCCTCTTCCACCACAAGTTGACAAGCCTGCACCCATCAATCTAGCATATCATAAATGAGTTTACACATACTTTGGTGAGTGGTGCACATTTGTTTTTTTCTCATCTCTCACATTTACTATCTGGTGGAGATGAACAGACTTTTTTCCTTTTAATTTGTGAATCTTAGCTCTTATTTTAGATGGTTCAAATGTTCCTTCCATACCCAGTGAGTATAAAACAGGAAACTCTGGCATTGGAGAAGCAAAGGTATGATTAAGATGTGATGGACCTTTTGGAACCATATTTAAATTATTTGGAGACACACGTTCACAGTCACATGGTCACAGTTTTACAACTTTATTGAATTCTTATATTTGATTCAGCATAAGGCTTTGTACCCTTCAAAACACCTAACTCATCAAGGGACTTGTCTGGCGGTCCAGTGGTTAGGACTCCACACTTCCACTACAGGGGGCCCAGATTCTATCCCTAGTCAGTGGGGCCAAAAAAAAAAAAAACCCAACAAACCAAAAAACTCATCAAATGGAAGACTGTTCTCTTAGGTCAGGTTCTTCCAGAAGCAGACTCTGAGTCAAGGGTTCAGGTATAGGAGATTTATTATGGAAATACTCCCAGGAGACATCAGTAATTGAATGAGAGAAGGAGGGCGGGGAAACGAAGGAGCCAGGAAAGGGTGAGATAGTGAAACGCCAGCTTTGACCTGACCAGGAGGGGAGCTCTTGAGCTTGAATCATGCCTCAGAGCATGTCCTTCCTGGAAAGAAGGAAGATGGACTTTTGGACTCCCAAACCACTTAGGTGGTTTGGGTCACTGGCCTTAGGTCAAAGGGATGGCCTAAAGGCAATAAAACCACCAGACACTGCCGGCTCTCCATCTGGGCTAGACTGGCTCCAGGACCAGATCACAGATGCCACCCTTGGCCTGCAAAGCACTTAGCTGGGGGCTGGGCACACCAAGCTGGCAAGAGACCCGATGGGTTCTGGGAGATGCACCAATGGTACTGGCCACAGGGACACCTCCCTCCTGCCCCCACACACCTGCTCTCACCACCAGGGACCAGTTACTGGTCTTTCATCAAGTTCTGCTGCAAGAGGAAATGAATAATATCTTTTGAAAGTCCTGGCATCAGCTTTTCATCCTGTAGAGATGTACTTTCTTCTCTGAGTGGGTAGAAGTGGGCGTCCCTGGAATGTTTCTGTAAGATGGAGCAGCCATTCTGGTTGAAGATGACCCGAGCAATTTGAAAACTGCGGAGGGTGTACTTTTGGTTCTCTTGGTCCTTCAGTTCATTGATTTTCTGAGACAGGCACTGGCAGACAGATGTAGAGAGTGAATTTCCAGATGCTGGCTGTGGATTGCCAAATACTTCATAGAATTTATCCAGAGATTTCCGAAGTCCATCATCCTCTTCCTTGGTTTCTGGTTGGCCCTTCACAGAACGGTAAAGCCAGGAGTTCTCAGAGGTCCAGGAATCATTTTGCTCAGTATTTAGGTTACTGTTATCTGCAAGACAAAACACATTCCAATCCTCAAACACATATTTTAAAATAGCAGAAAGCAAGGCAAGAGCAAATGATATATTTTTTTCAGTTAACACACTCACTGTTCCTTGGTGCTGTATGAAGCACAAGCTGGAATCAAGATTGCTGGGAGAAATATCAATAACCTCAGGTATGCAAATGACACTACCCTTATGGCAGAAAGCAAAGAGGAACTAAAGAGCTTCTTGATGAACGTGAAAAAGGAGAGTGAAAAAGCGGGCTTAAAACTCAACATTAAAAAAATGAAGATCATGGCATCCAGTCCCATCACTTCATGGCAAATAGATGGGGAAACAATGGAAACAGTGGCAGACTTTATTTTCTTGGGCTCCAAAATCACTGCAGATGATGACTGCAGCCACGAAATTAAAAGATGCTTGCTCCTTGGAAGAAAAGTTATGACCAACCTAGATAGCATGTTAAAAAGCAGAGACATTACTTTGCCGACAATGTATGGATGTGAGAGTTGGACCATAAAGAAAGCTGAGTGCCAAAGAATTGATGCTTTTGAACTGTGGTGTTGGAAAAGACTCTTGAGAGTCCCTTGGACTGCAAGGAGATAGAACCAGCCAGTCCTAAAGGAAATCAGTCCTGAATATTCATTGGAAGGACTGATGCGGAAGCTCTAATACTTTGGCCACCTGATATGAAGAACTGACTCATTGGAAAAGACCCTGATGCTGGGAAAGGTTGAAGGCAGGGGGAGATGGGGACGACAGTGGATGAGATGGTTGGATGGCATCACCGACTCAGTGCACATGAGTTTGAGCAAGCTCTGGGAGATGGTGATGGACAGGGAAGCCTGGAGTGCTGCAATCCATGGGGTTGCAAAGAGTCGGACATGACTCAGCAACTGAATTGAACTGTTCCTTAGTAATTGGCAATGGGTAGAATCACCTGATTTCAGAATCGGTTCCCACTATCTAGGGATTATGCCACTCGTTTCCTCACAATAAGAATATCTTACTTGCATGTATCAGGCAGGGGTTCTTAACCTGGGAGTCCTTATATAGAAATTCAGGGTGTAAATGAACTAGAATGGGGGAAAACCTTATTTTCATTAACCTCTACCTGAAATTAAGAATTCCCTTCCATAAAGAATGTAAGCAACAAACTTATTAGCAGCAGCGTCTGTGGCTCTGTTACCAACAGATCACAGCTATTTTTATTTCATACTAAACTTTGTTGAAGATGTTTTAAAATATCACTTATGCTTATCATTATGTATGGACCAAACTGTCCCTCCGAATTCATATACTGAAGGCTTAATCTCTAATGTGACTGTAACTGGAGATGGGACTTTAAGGTTATTAAGGTTAAATTAAGTCATAAGGGTGAGGCCCTAAATCAGACAGGACTTGAAGGCCTTATAAGAAAAGGAAGAGATCCCTCTCTCCCCTTCCCATCTCCTTCCGCCCCCATGTACAAGAACCAAGGAAAGGACATGTGAGCATGTAAGCACGCAGTGAAATGGTGATCTTCTGTAAGCAAGAAGGAAAGTCCATGCTGACACCCTGATCTCAGGCTTCCAGCCTCCAGAACTATGAGAAGATACATGCATTTCTTTTGTGTGAGGCCCCCAGCTGATGGTACTTTGTTATGGCAGCCTGAGTAGTCAAAGACACACTGCTCTGAAATCACCACAGTTATTATTTCTGATACTAGATCTTATTATATAAGTGTTAGTAAAAAGCATTATATATTGATTACAATATCATATCTTTGTTCTTTAAATGTTTTAATAACTATATTTCAATATTTTTTCCTTAGTAATCCTATATATTTTAATTCATGCATTTAAAAACATTATTCTGAGAAGAAGTTGAGAGGCTGCACCAGATGCCAAAGGAATTCATGACACAAACACAGCGATGACCCCTAACATACAGTTCTCAGCCTTTATACAATTCAGACATTTTCTTTTCTACTCCCTGTAAGAATCCTTTAGACTCTTTGCCTCTAAATTAAACTTATCATTTTTGTGCTTTTTAAAGGAGGGGTAACAAATAAACTAAGTGATTTAATAATAAAGAAGAAACCAGATCTAAAGACAAATCTTAGTTCCTGATCTAACCTGCTCCTCTCTGGACACCCTAATTCTTAACATAGGCATCTTTCAGGTCATTTGAATCAACGTTCCTATTGATGTGTTCTAGAAAAGACTTTATACAAAAAATTAATTTGCAAGTTGCAAAATTCCTTATACAGCCAGCAGTTTTATTCTTTAAAATTTCATACTTTAAATCAAGATATATTTTCCTTTTTTCACTATGACATAAGTGTTATTAAATTACTAGCTTTAATTCCACACACACCCTACCCTTGCTAATTCAATTAATAGTTATAATAAAAATATTTGTACTTGCTAATGATGAAGAAAGTTGAATGACGCATTGGGTGAAGTTTTAGAAAAGGAGGCAGGATTTGATGCTTTGACTCTAGTTTTCCTACCAGGTAGACATGACATCTTTCTGAGCTTTGGCTTTCTCATCTATAAAACAAGGGTTTTACTAAATGATCTCTCTCCCGGAACTTCTATGGTAATACAGGGAATGGAGACGTATAATCCAAAGCACTAGAGTATACAAAAAGAAAGTGGACATAAGTTCTGTGAGACACATGCAGGGTCACACGTGGACAAGCAGTCACTGATTCAACACACATTTAAGAGCAATCTAATGATATCAGTGTAACTCATTACAAGTTGCTACGAAATACACAGAGGATGCTGAAGACCACGGCCTTCACCTGAGACTCACACTTCAACTAGACCTCAATTAGAAAGAGAAGACATACTTCTAGATATCAAACAACTGGAAAATACTCACAGGATATGTGTGTGTGTGTGTGTGTTGTAAATACACAAAGATGGGATGATATTGACTGGGGACAGTGTGGATACAAAGGATAAATGCAATGTTAGGGAAGGATCAGCATGTAACAGAAATAGTGAGGGGTGCCTCTTTGGAGAAGGTTACATGCAGTCTTATTATGAAGGGACCAGCAATCAGAGACCATGGAAACAGAAGGAGGGTTAGTGAACAAGGGCCATGTGGCAAGAAGCAGCAGAAACTAAACAACTCCATGGCTGGTGTCAATATCCTCCTCTACTAATTGGCTATATTTTTAGCAGCCTGAGAGCCAGCATGGAGGCAGAAGGAGACAGAATTCATAGAGTAGCCAGAGAGATTCCTGGGACAGACAGCAGAGACCATGGCTTTTTAAAGAATTTAGTGGCAGAGATGGTATCTATTACACTGGATTTCAGCAAGCCTAAAACTATGTCCTAGGCCCCTCAATCATAAAAAATAAAATACAATTTTTTAAAAAGAAATTTCCTTTGTTGTTGATATGTCCAGAACTTCTGCCTAAATTCCCCCCAGTAAGCCCCTTACTTATCTGCAGCCTCCTGGATGGGTGGAGGGTGAGGGAGGCAGAAGCTGGCTTCTTTCTGGTCCTGGTGTCAGAAAAATAGCAGGAGACGACTTCCTAGCCACCCGACTTGGAATGCTAAACACACTTTCCAATAGCAACTTTCTTATCCATATAGGTCAATAGGTTCTATAATGTGGAAGGTGAGGTGAATAGATAGAGTGGAAAGTTTGGGATCATCTAAAGCAGAGTGATTCATAACACAGTTTCCAAAGTCAAGTAGACCCAAATTCAAATCCCTGCTCTGCCAAGTTCAAGTTGTGCAAACACTGAGTAAATTAATTAACATCTCTGAGACTCAGTCTCTTCATGTGAAAAATGGAAATACTATATTATCACCTCATGATTCTCATGTTGTGAGAATTGACTGAGATGATACATGCAAAGCACTTAACCCAACTTGAGAAATGGGTGATTCCAGGCTGGTGATAGGGAAGTATAAGCCCGGAACATGAATCCATAAAATAAGTGAAAGTTTGATGAGAAACAGGCTATTTACAGCTCATAGTACCTCCCCATAAGATACTTATTAGTTATGAAAGGAAAAAGAATAACTTTATATATAGTGGAGAAGCACGGCAGGTATCAGCATACACAAAGGATCTAAGAGCAACATCAGTAACAGGACAAATCAAAATCATGTGTGACCTGATCCGGTGAACAGGAAGGCCCAGCATCACTTCTCAGAGAGTCCTGCCAAAGGTGCAGCACTTGAACCAATTATGACAAAGTGGTGGACAAAACCAAATCAAGAGAAATTCTACAAAATGAATGGCCCGTACTCTTCCGAAGTGCCAAGTTCATGAAAACCAAAGGAAGGCTGAGCAACTGCTCCAGACTGAAGGAGACTACAGAGACAGGACAACTAAATATAGCATGGGATTTCCTCTGGCTCCTTTTGCAGAACATTCTTGGGCCCCTTGAATGGAGTTTGGGGATTAGACGGTAGTAATGTGTTACTGTTACTTTTCTGATTTTCATGGTTTCATCCAACTTTGTAGAAGAATGTCCTTATTTGTAGGAAAATCAGAGGTGGTAGGCAACAAGTTGGCAACTTACTCTCAAATCACGGAAAAAAAAAAAAAACCTTTATATCATACTTGCAAATTTCTATGAGTTTGAGATTGTTTCAAGAAAAAAAATTAAAACAAACCTGTGAAGGAATAATTGTTAAAATTTCTTTGGGTAGCCTACTATAAAATTTAAACAATCATAAAAGCCTTAGTGCAGGGATTGGCAAATATAGTTGCCTAACAAACGTACTGCCATTAGAGAGGTGAGGGGAAAGGGAAAAGGGAAGGATCCCACCATGGCAGGGCGAGGTGCCCCTTTCCACCTTCTTTCCCACAGATGATCTGGTTCTGGGTGTAAAGGCAGGAAGCCAGGGGCAGGGGAGGGTCAATGGGAAGAAGTGGGGAGAGAAGGAGAGCTACGCAGTGACACTACAAGTAGTAGGGCGTGTACTTATTAAGTAACTGGTCAATAACTTGGATATGCAGATTTAAAACTTCTCATCTGTGTTTCATTTAA